TTCAACCTTTCAATGCGGCACACTTCATCTCCAACACAATGTTCGCGGCACACCAATCCATATAATATGTGATCAATATTTGATATATTTATACTCTCTCTCTCTCTATATATATATATATGTATGTGTACTCTGTTAAATGATTGATTATTTTGAAATATTTTAACACAACCGATCGATAGAGATGGCTGCGACGGGCATACTTACAATAAATAATATCATACGTATCTATGATTAGTTCTATCAATTTTCATCGAATATCGGTAATAATACTGCTAAATACGTACGTATAAAACAATTTATAGAATTATGGCAGCACACTTGAAGGGAGCTCGAAGCACACCGGTTGAAAATCACTGAATTATGCACTGATCTACCTACATTTTTCAATCGCTTATAATACTCCAAGAAATGTTCTAATTAAAAACGTTCTTCAAACATAAATATTTATAAAAAATAAATCAAACATTAAAATCAAAAATCCTAATGTTTGTGATCAAAGTTTTTCACACAACTATTATTTTTAATATAATTTTAATCGTATACAGTTAAATATTACATTTAATGACGATACAATTTTTAATACATCTTATGTTTTAATGACTAAATTAAATGGAAATAGTATTTTCTACGTATCCTGTAAACAGAATAATATAGTAGAGATACATATTAAACAGTTGTATTCAAATATAAATAAGCATTTCTTTTTATAATAATTTAAGATCTTGTTAGTCTAATGATTTTTAATTGATCAAGACTATTATTTGCAACTGGCTTACTAATCTTACTAGCTAGTTTCAATAGTAAGATCATGTACCAGGTAACAAAATTAAATATCATTGAAATTCAGACCTAAACCGTTCCAGAAAATTACGAATTTAATAAAATAACACATATACTTACATATACTTAATACGTACACTTATCGATAGTTTGTTTTTGCCTGTTTCAAAAATAAATTAAAAAACTTTCGAGTTTTTAATGAATCTATACATTGAATTATATGGGATTTACATGTTTGTACGTGTAACACGCTGTTAATCAAGATAATTTTAAAGTTTCCACCTACATTTATTTTGCATCGTATAATAAATAATCACAGAATATAAAGCACTAAGAATAAAAAGAGATTTGAGTAATCGAAACGGAATGATATGATTCACTTTGATGTCTGCTTTTATGGTATACATGCATATTTTTTTTTTTTTAAATATAGGGGAAAAAAGAAATAATTAATTTTTTCATGAAAAATTGTTGCATTATCACGTACAATATCGTATAATATAATATGACGTGGCAAAGACCATCAAAGACGACAATATTGAATACCATTTTGCGACAAAAACGTCAACCGAAGGGATCACATTATAACGATCACATGTCGAAAAACTTGCGTTTATAATAGTATTATGCGCTTTCCGACCCGTACACGTGAACCGTGATTCAAGATCAATTTACGAACATAGTCTCGTCGAGACAAAGTGAACAATACAATTAAAATGGAAAAGCCAAATAGCATACGCATATATTATGGGCGATACCGACAACATATCTGGTGTTTAATATTTTTTCTTATCATTTCCGATTGTTCGATGCTACTTTATCTCGTAACACACCAATAGTATTGCACGATCGGTAGGAACCCAATACATAACAATTACGAATAATTTACTGTGGTTCGAAACCGTTATCCCTAATTGGAACCGATTGCGTAACAAATCGTATACGAAAATAAACCACCGCCGTCGCGCACAGGACATTGTGTGCATCTAAAATTTGCATATTTAAACATATATCCATAGTGCACGGGAGATACATACATACATATACTTTTAATAATATGATATGTTGTATAATGTAGGCGCCGGTTTAGTGGATGCGATGGAGCCGCAAACTCACTTCCTCACCCCTATCATATCATGTGCATTTCAATCGACTGGCACATAAATATCGTTTTGCTCCAGGCTACGCCCGTGGTCCGTAAATCTTGATTATTTTCGCACGCGCCCCATCGGCGTGTTTCGGTTACGCGCACGGCAACCCCGGTCGAGGTTTGACGGTCGAAACGCGATATTTGCAATGAAGATGTAGAACACCTGGTTCCGAACTGCTGACGTTGTAATCACATTTGAATATGATCGGGGGAAAAAAATATAATGATCGCATAAAGCGGACGAATAGAAACTAATGCAATGCACTTCGCCCAATAGATTTTACTCGCAGTTTAGTATCTGCTATTCGGTCGCGCACAATCGTCACAGGATAACTCGTCCAGTTAATTGAATGATCCTAACATATTCTTTTGATTATCAAGCGGAGGAAAAAATCTTATTTAAAAAACCAACTCTTACTTCAAAGCTTTTACAGACTAATTTCCGTTAACTACAAGGCGATCTGGAATACTTGTGTTTACGTGCGATAAAACCTAAAAATGAATGAAACCTAAACAATTCTGATGTGCAAGCTATCTGAAATCAACAAAAAATCCAGTACAGATTTCCAGTACATCGCGCAAGGTTCAATTATCGTGCTCGCGTGCACATTATGTTTTATCTGCCAACCCGAGAGTGAACGGAATAAAATATTTATGTGAACAACTAAAACGTGTATTCGCATACGTAATTTTATTCAATCAAATCGTACGAAATGCAAATCGAAACACGTAGAGAATCACGTTTTCCGGACTAAAGCTAGTCGGTCAGTCACCATTTTACCAGTCGTATCGCAAGCTCGCTAAGCCGCAATCGAAACCGCGAAGTGGAGAAAAACACGTATCAACCGAGTGCGCTTTACACGTTTCGACGGTCTAGAGTAATCGAATGATAGTGCGATTTATAGCGCCAAGATATGAGATAGGTGACGTTTACGGAATGCGACGGGCGTGCGCATATCCAGTGGAAAAAAATAGAAGTAAAAATATTGCCCCTGAACTCGGTTTTTTCTTTCTCGCGATCGTGTACCACACGTTGCCAAACCGATACCCGGACCATCCGGCATTTCTGCTGACCGTTCGTCTTGTATTTCCATGTTCTCAAGTCTGATGTCCGCTGACGACGGGGTATCGAAACGATAACAATCACCTCTAGTGCACGTCTTCTTCTCACGAGTGCTGTAAACGCGCAACATTTTACCGTCGTTATTATACTCGACGTGTCGAGTTTTGAAAATCGCACGAAAATTCTATCGAGACCGATCGTGACCTGTAACAACAGCTTCCAGTAAAATTTCCAGGCAACACCGCCGGGTGTTCTCGAAGACCGTTTGCGGTTTCGTTGTGCGCGTCATATGAATCATTTATCTGTACTGGAGGATTTTTTGACAATAACAATGTCAACCGTCTCGTATCGTTTTATAACCGAAACGCTGAGTCCGTATAAAACATCATTGTTTGCCGGAGTACAAAAGCAACGGAATTCTTGTGTAGAGGAAAACTCACGCTATTTAGTACGCTATTGTTACGATGGTCTAACGGACGCGATTAAATTTTACTCGATGTAATTCGAAAACGAAAAAACAAACGATTACAAACATAATACAGTTTCAACAATCGGCTTTAGTTTTTCATAGGAGAACAATTAGTTATTGCGTTAACGAAAGGACCATCGTTATTTCAATTTACAAGTGGACGATACCCTACGTCTACCTGCTGTTGCGGACGTGTAGCATACGGGCTGTACGTAATAACAATAAATAATATTTCCGTTAGTTTTTTTTTTTATTTATAAAACACGATTTTTATTCGTCGTCCTCGGCGGGCGTACACGGTATACATTATGTTTTTTCACGTCGGAATATTTATACGCGGATTACGTGGACGGACGGGACGAATAGGAAGAAGCGCCCCACGGTTTTGTAAATAATTCAACAAAACCAACGACATGGCAGCGTAATAGAATCTTAACGCTGTAACACATACGAGAGCGAACCCACCCACGTTACTAAAAAAAATAAATATATATATGGTTGTAATTTATGCAATTGTGTCTCGTGGCGCATCGTGCACAGGACGTATTATAGAATGTAATCGTGTCCTGAGAATAATGCGATCGGACTTATCACGTCGGGAATAACGGCGGTAAACGCGAACGCGTTCGACGGAGCGTGGGAGAAAAATTACGCTTGCCCGTCCCCGCAGGTAACACCTTATATCAATCTTCGAATGTTGTCCCCGGCCAGGTGCGCTCGCACGTGAAAACGTTTTCATTTTTTTTCTCCTTGTGTCGACATCTTTTACGTCGTCCGCGAGACGGGTTACGTGTAGATTTTTTTTATTTTTTTTTTTTTTTTATTCTTTTTAACGAGTTTATTATTCACCGGGATAATACACGTGTACCCGAATCGTTCGACCTGCTCAGCCCGTCCGCGTTCGAAGGCACGCGCACACATTTACGTCGAACGAGATCGCTTGCGAATCGAAAACGGCTGCTGTTTCAGACGTACCGTCGAACTTGCATAAAATATTACGTTTTTACACAAAACAAAGTCATTGTCGTCTGCGGACGTTATCGGTCGACGGAATGCCGTATTCTCGTCCGGACAGTAGACGGAAATATCGTCAACGTAATGCGATAAGACACGGGCGTAGGTGTGAACCTACTTGCACGGTGTACGAGTTATGGCTATTTAAAAACGGGATTTCCATTCGGATTAGAGTGTAATCAACTCTTTGGTGGGTAATTATGTAGTATTTATTATTTGCACAAGCCAACACACCAAACAATATCAGTTTTATCTCTTTAGGTCGATTGTTTCGCTTGCTCGTACTGCGCTCTTGCGCGAGAAGTGAATTTGATTAGGCACCCGTCGTTTATCGCGCGTGTTCGACCAATAGCAGCGATTATCGGCCAGTCCGGACCCCATCAATTCACATGACGATCAACACTAGATCGACCCTAATCACTTTCCGTGGCGTTTTCACGCGTTTCCCGCCGTTTTCGAGCGGCTGCAACGACGATTTTTCGTTCTCCCTTGTAACAACCCACTTGTATTCTCGCACGCAGGACGTCCACCACCGCGCGTCACCTGGTGGCAAGAGAACGCGTTGATCGACGAGACTTTCGAGACGCTACCGGACCGGAAGGTGAGGAACGTGTTGCGCCTGGAACGGCTCGAACGTCGTCACCTGAACACCGTATACACGTGCCAAGCGTCCAACAACCACATGGTGCCACCCATATCCAGTGCCGTCTCTCTAGACATGATACGTGAGTACAATTTTATTTTCCTTTTTATTTTTTGTATTAGAGCAACGATAATGCCGTATAACATTTCGGTGAAAAGCGATGTCGAACGTTTTTTTGAAATTTGTTAGCAGTGGGTGGGGATAATGTGCGTATTATAACAGAAGATTAGAACGCCGGATCGATGACGTGGAAGCGTAAAATAAAATATGCTGCAGTTGTAGAGCAACGCGATATAATAAAACCTGGCCGGTATCTTATACACTCGACAATGAGATTGGTGTGCCGAAAACGCTATCGAAAATATTTACTTTTCCTGTTTTCATTTTTTATTTGAGCCGCGATTGTACTTGCGACACGGTTAGACGTGGACTTGATTCAGATTCCGAGTCAAATGAAGTTTTTTACTTTCCCAATTTTTTTGCGATCGAAAAAGTCCTCTGGTAGTTTTATAATAACATAGTCCCTATTTTATATGACTCCGTAAAAATAACATTTTTGAAATTTCCCAAAAGTTTAAATAACGTAATACAAAAAAACAAAACCGAACAAACGGTGAATTAAAACGACACAGGCGTTTCAAAACTTATTTTAGTTCTGCAGTGATATAGAGAAAATTATGAAAACTCCAAAACTGTAATTTAAACGTTTGTCTGCTATTTGTATATGTGTTTAGTTGAAGAATGAATAAATTATAGTTTATAAATTAATTAGCCGTATTATCTGAGGTATCAATTTTTTAACTGTTTGTAAACGTTGGAAGTATATTTATACTCGGCCGATTTTCGTTTGTAATATATTATAGTATGACCTGAACGTCGAAGGAATTTTGCCTCTATAGCATATATTTTACAATAATTGCTCATTTTACCAAACAGATGTTTTCTATTCCTAACCGTAATCACCACGGTTCATACGCGTTTCCGATTGTCTACACTGGACTTGATTTCTCCTGAAGCAGGATCAATAGGACATTTTGTCATAGAAATGTGTAAATCATGAACAGATCGGATGAACTGTTTGCGGCCGGTTGATCACTCCTGTCCCGACCGTTTCGTTATCCCTAAACAGTCTTGAAATAACCGATATTATTGCAGACCACACGATAAATTTGTAAAAAAAAAATGCCGTTTTTATTGCGCAGCAAAGTTTTGTAAAACAAGAACCGTAGAAAGCGCTTGTGAGAAACGCATTTATTAACACCGTCGTAAATGTCAATCGAATACAATCGCACAAAAAAACCGTGTGGTCCTCCGGGGTTATTATTATTTCGAGAAGCAGTGATACCGGCATGTGAGGCGCAAAAGCTCTAATATGTAGAGCTCGTTAGCCCATCGTGTAGCGCATATGTACAGGGCATTCGCAACGCGTTATCAAACCACGTCCGGGTCGAGTGCGATCGTTGTTTATCATTTTCCTACCGTAGTGCTACCGCCGTATCGGTGTGCTCATATGGATAATATAACGGGTGCGTCGGATCGGTTCGGTACGGCCACGGTTTCCGTTTCCCGAGAAAGGCAATAAATATTCGGGCAAAAGAGTGTGTGTACGAGATAAAAAGAGAGAGAGATAGAATAAGAGAAATTGAAGAAATGCGCGATTACACGACCGTGTGTACAGGTGTACTACGTATTGGCGAAGATGACGATAGTAATAATAACGGAATAGTATATTGATGAATCGATGGTTTTGGAATACACAGACATGCCGTCCTATTCTTAAAATAAATAATGCCTTTATCAGGCACTACACGCCGCCGTACGCTACACTTACCTTTTGTAAACGTATTGTTTTAATCGTTCACAACCGGTTCTTATCGATTTACGAATGCTTCGGCAAGCTTAACTGTGTTCTAAAATCAATTGGTAATATCGACGGTAACGGATGTATACGCGCTTATTGTTAGACGGTGGACGGATAAAATATGACGGGCTCGTCGGAGGCTCATGATTGTAATAATAATGAGTCGTTTCAGACCGCAGCGCAAAATCGTCCTCGCCCCAAGACGTTGGATCACACCGAGCTTGATTTATAGCCCATTCCTTGCCACGATCCGATTTAATTGTCGTTACGAATTATTTATGTTTCACCACTCCACCAGCCACTTACAGCTTTTCGCGAAACATCGATTTATAGCGTTCAAGACCGGCCGTCGCAAACGCATTCTCTTTTGCTCTCCGTCCGTCCGAATTTATTAATGTATTATTATTATTATTATTATGATAATTATTATTCCTCTTAACTTCTTTCATCGACAATTAACGGTCCCGTAGGCGATAATAAATTCAAAACGTGACGAGTAAGGCAAAAATAATAAACGTTTTGGAAGTTTTAAAGGATTTTTAAATCAGCTCAGCTGGTTCGACGGATCCGTGAACACGCTAGCGACGATAGGAAATCGTTGAAAAACGTGTGGCAATTTGTGTTAAACGCTTTATAGCTAATTGCATTCGTTCGATAGATCGGCCTGTTCGTTTGAATTATCGTAACGTTGACGGCCCACATTCGACTGGTTTATTTCATTGCATCCGTCACCGAAATAAATCGTTCTTCGTATATTTCAAAATAATAAACGCGGCAAATCAGCTGATATAATTATTTGTTACGACACACTCACACAATTAATATTATAAAATTGTCAGCAAACGTTTTTTTTGTCTACATGCCATATTTCGCGCAGCACAGTAATAGAAACGAACGTAAATCGATATATTTCCGGTTGGTCATCTTGTAATAGAATACGATTAAAAACATTTCAGTTTTAGTCAACTATTGAAATCATATAAAAATAGAACAATACCTTTAAACTATAGCCTAATGTTGATCAATCGTTTATAATGCTACCACCCACTATAATGTTACAATCATTTTGAGTGACCATTTTATTATAACATTTAAAAGTTGTGATCAATTAGTATGATTAATATGATAAATATAAAGTTTTTATTGGCAATCCTAAACTTTTATTAATTTAAATCCACAACAATGATCATCATAATGGTATTTACAAAATATCTTACTAATTGTTTTATATATTTGCGACCCTAAAAAGATTGTTCGCGACCCCTCGTTTAGGACTCGCTGGCCTAAGGTAAAAATAAGTTGACACACAATTTGTGCACCTCGAATATTTTCCACGGTGAACTTTACAAAATCAATATAATTCTTATGGTCAAAATGCCATGTTAATTGATATGATTGATGTGAAATAGAAAGTTTGTTAATGAATCATCGATGTTTAGGTACTTATGAAAAAATTGTCATAATACATTTATAAGCTTCGGGATAAATTAAATTCCGTAAAACCCGTTTTGTGTAAATAATAAAATTTGAAAATATTATTCCACACACACACAACAACGTTTGATATTCATTAAATACCATATACTCGAGTACAATGTGTTTAAGTTATAAAAATCTTATATGATCATTCTCACGAATTTCATTCAGCTATGGTATTCACTTTAATTTTCTCGACCAAGTTTTCATCCGAGTTAAAGTAAGGTGTTCTCTTCGCAAATAATACTGATTTTAATAGTAAAAAAAAAAAATCAACAAAATGATAGTATCATTTAATATGTACATATTATAGGAATTTGATAAAAAACTGATAAGATTTACGCGGGAAACTCTTCTAATACTGTTCTAATAGTACGTGTAAAATTAACATATGCGTATGTAACATAAAGAGGCTTATTGAGAATTTATTACAAGAATTATCCCACGAGTAATGACTAACTTGATGTGGTAGGAAAATTGAAAATCCATTAACCGGTATTATAAATTAATACACCTAAGTATGCATGCACGAGATGTCCAGCGTACATTATACCCAAAAGTTTACAACATATTACGAATTAACGTATTACGTAGGTATTTAAATCAAATCAATATGATGCAATGGTTTCGTAGAATTTATTATGTTGGTACGATATATTTTTCTTGGAAATCTTGCGGTCAAATGGTACTTCGGTTACAAACAACCGATTGGCGTTTAGAATATTATAATATATTACACGAAACTCCTATCCGATCACGGTTAACATAACATTTGGTATAAAACCTAACGATGTAGTCGACAAAAAAAAAAAAATAAATAACAACAATAATACTAGTATACCATGACGTAATCAATCACTCAAATAAACAATCACTTTGCTTCGCAATTATCGACCTACAAGATCTATTACCATTGCCGTACGTACGATGTGTGTATGCTACATACAAAGTCCGGAATTGTACATTTCGCAATTTTTACAGTGATTTTTGTACACATTGCGAATTTTTCAATGTTGCTGAACAAAGTAACTAGATGGTACAAGTTCATAATACAATTCGCGATAGGTACAATAATCACTGTACAAATTGCGATATATAAACAATCATTGTACAAATCAAAACATTTAAAAACATATTATATAAATTAAAATTTGTCGTATAAAAAAAAATATTATTATATAACTACATAGTTCTAAAATCAAATATAATTATTAATTACATATACTATATCATTATTTATTCTTACAATCAAATTAATTATGACTGTATGAGTTGCATATTACATTTTCTTTACATATACATTTATTATTATAGCATTTACGTGAGTAAAAACAAATAAAAAAAAACCTTGCCCTTCAAACTTTGATTCTTTTGAATTTGCAGCTCTTAGAAAAATTTTATCAGTAGATATATCATTTATATTTAATATAAATACCCTATTACAAGATGAAAATTGGTTACGACTAAATAGTTAAATAAATAATAATACTATTTTTAGTATCAATTTTAAACAAGTCATCCGTCGTTACTTCCATAATGGAACACCTAATAAAATGAAAGTACATCACTTATTAATATTATTATTATTATTTATAAATATAAAATAATGTATAACCTATGATATTTTTCGAATCTCCTTTACTTCTATCTTCATCTGATACAAGTAACTTGGTGATGTAAAATGAACTTACAGCTAGCTTTTTATTTTTATTTATTTTACCTTGCACAATTTTACTTTCATCTAA